GGTGTGGGGCTGTTTGCTTGCAAAATCCGCGTGTGACTTGGGATTTTAATCTTCCTAACAGTCCCTTGAATTCCATTAAGTGGTATTTTGGAGTGGGTCCTTTTGGAATCCAGCAGTCTGTTTACCAAAACGTTCTTTTTTGTAACTTACAATTCCATGACACCCTACAGAAATAATTCTTCAAAAATAGATCCAAGTTGGCTGTTACCCTGCCTTCCTCTCCTGGCTGCTATTTTACACTCTGGCGGCGCACAAACACAGCTTCCTCTTGTGATCTGGAAGTTTGTTTTTGTAAAAAGTCCCTGGTACAGTCATACTTCCTGCAGTGATTTGTTTTAATACAACATCCTTACTCTTAAGATTTGATTGCAGATGAAAAATATAGTTAAATTACAGTGAATGAAAAACAAAAGCATTTCTTTGAACTCCTCTCCAAACACCTTCTTGGAAGCTCTTTACTTTGTAAACAATATGAAGGACATTTGCAATAGTGGCAATAGTAGTTACAATAAGCCAAAGAGATCACATTTCTTAGCTCAGAGTCAACAACTTCTGACTTTTTTTAGGAAATAGGTACTCTATAATCAATTGTAATAGCTCCATTGGAGTCTAATTTTGAGGGGCTTCTACCCTTAACTTGAGTATTTTTGGATATCTTAAGGGAGTGGGAAAGCTTGATACTAGATAAGATTTGACCTCAGATAAAGATCACAGTGAAGCACTACATCATGAAATGAGAGTTGCTAAGCAACAACCTTGGTGATGGACTTTCAGGGTGATTCCTTCATCTTTGGCTTTGCCCATCCACTGCTGGTCAGGACCACAAAACCCTTGGCGTGGCCTGATTCTCCAACAGGGGGTTGGGAATGAGGGCTCTGAGCCCAACACTAGAGGCTTCTCTTTGATGGACGGGCTCAAATAGCGGCCTGCTCTATGCTGTACAGACTGTATCAAAGGCCCCCAGTGATTGGTTGACACTTATTTTACTAATTGAGCAAGCCAAGAAAATTTTCTTTTGGAATAGCTGTATGAAAACTGTAGCTTCTAAAGGAAGGGACATTTCTTCTTTGCTCTTCTAGAGAAGGACATAGTTTGGGATTTTGTGAATACTTTCTGTAAGGTTGGCAGCATTAGCAAATAAGTATACAAGACATCCAGTTACATGTGAAGGTTTATTTTCTAACTGCCTATGCAATTTTGTAATTTATTGATAAAAATGAAGATAGGACATTTAGAACATGTCAATAAAGTTCATCAGAATGCAGTACAGGACGTGCCCTGCATACACAGCAAGCCTGGCATTCCTAATTCTGGGATTATAGTCAGAGTTATATGGCATTTACATACATATATGACATCTTTGGCTTCTATAAGCATGTATCAAAAATGATGTCCTGCCTGGCTAGTGTGGCTCAGTGGTTGAACGTCGACCTATGAACCAGAAGATCACGGTTCAATTCCCAGTCAGGGCACAGGCCCAGGTTATGGGCTCAATCCCTAGTGTGGGGCGTGCAGGAGGCAACTGATCAATGATTCTCTCTTATCATTGATGTTTCTACCTCTCTGTCCCTCCCACTTCCTCTCTGAAATCAATAAAAATATATTTTAAAAAATGACGTCCTTATCTTACACAATCAATTCTTGTAATTTTATTAGGAATTACCCATCACTTCTAATCAAGAGCTTTTCCTTGGTCTTCCATGTTTATACACCAGCAACATAGCAATTGGAAAAGAAAAATTCCTGTCCCCAATTTTTGGGCATCTACCGTACACGTCCAAGGATTATGATTTTGGATTGATTATTTTGAACCCACAAGATTATCTGACTTGATGGAATGGACAGCCAGGATGGAACAGCCAACCCCCACAGATCAAGCTGAGGGGACACCAAGTCCCCCAGGAGACGGACAGAGGATGAGAACAAAGGGAAAGGGCTGAAGCTTTATTTCTGCCTCGTGCCAGTCAGCATTTAGTGGAAAAACTTTGGGGGGGAAATTGGACTTAATCCGTCAGTGTTTCTGAAAGACTGGGAAAACTGGTCCTCCTGGGAAGCCAGAGGATATGACAGTTGTAATGGAAGATGAGTGGCCTAGCTTTGCCTGCAAAGAAGTTCTTGTCCGCTGGGAGAAGGGCTTATGTGAGAGGTGCTCAGTCAACCCCTAGCTTTCAATTTTTATACTGTTCTCAGTGCCTTCCTTGCTGGAAAAGCAAAGATTTTGTTTTAGATTCTTTAAAAAAATCAGAACAACATGACAAGAAAAACAGTTTACTGACAAATACCAATGCTTCAAGAAGTTAACTCTTTTGTTCTTTAAAATCTCAATTAGGTTCTCACATATCATTTCATTGCACATTCTAACTGTGCAGAGTCTCGGCTCTGCTCCTAGACCCTTCAGGCTGAGAACCAACACCCACCACTCACTGCGGCCCACAGGCCAGAGGTTTGGTTGATTGGCCGGTCATTCTGATTAAAGATAAACTGAAACTCACAAAGGGCAACATGTGCGCAGTTAATCCATTAGAAGTGAAATGTTAAGCTTTGGACCTTCAAGTGTACATCTTCCCAGGGGAAGAACATCAATTGTGCCTAGGACCTACCCAGGGTCAAGTGCGGGAAGTTGGGTGCTCACTCAGAGCTTGGAAACCAAGACTGCAAATGTTGATGCCTCTCACTAAAGAGTCCCGTCTCACGGAGCTATGATGAGATAACCTGGATTCAAAACTAGTTGTTTCAAAGAAGAGCGGAGATTGAGAGACTGGAAGTCGCCCCTATGTCACATGATCAAATGTCTTAGACCATGGTGACAAGGTAGTGAATGAAGGCCAAGGATGAGATGATCTTTACTGAGCTACCAGTGCAAAGGCCCTGCGCCTTCTTTGCCTTGCTTTTCTATTTCCTCCTTCCTCCAGGTGATATAAGAAGACTGAGGATCTAAGCAAGGGAGAAAGGATCATCCTGTAATAGAAGCGTCACATGTCTCTACACCTTACTTTACATTTCAGTGATAGCGAAATCACAGTCAATTAAAAATTGAAAATTTAACTCAATGGGTTGTGTAAATGCATCTAAACATCTGGTCCACTCACTGATGGCATCTCCCCCCTTTGAACCAGCTATTTCAATTTCTGGTCTCCTCTCTGAGCTGTAACATCCCCATGAGTGGGGAAGGGCACCCCTGGATGCCTCCACCCCCATCCCAACGGCGGCCCACTGTGAGTGCCAATGAATGAAACGTTGCTATGCTTCTGGGACCACTGGCTGCTGGGTACCATGTAAGTATAACACATCTTATTTCTGAAATAAGACATGGATTTGTGGTTTCTCTGATGGAACACGGCATTTTTGAATGGTCTCACTGAGAAGGCCTGGTGCATTGGAAATCCTTCAAAACGCAAAAGCCTTTTTGGGTCAAAAACACTCCATTAGTTTGACTTCTTCTTAGTTGGAGGGTCAAGCATGCATCTCTTTCAGTCAGAAGACTGTTCACATAGAATCAGTTGGCCATCCGAATCCTTTTTTGTTAGCATGTCAACATTAGAGTGTTTTGTAGAAAGTAATAATAAATATTACTGGAAAATGCTAAGTTTCAAACCAGCCACGACTTTAGACCTACGTATGAAAAACTACACTGTAATATCACTTATTGACTTCCACGAGTATTGGCTTTTAAGACACTGCATATTTATTTTGCGTATAGTGCGAAAGATCACATGATCAAGTCTTTCACATTTGGCTGAAGTAGATTGCTAAGTGAACATAAAAGAGATTTTTCAATCTTGTGCTACATCATTGTACCATATACAATATAAGCAGGTAAGATTCCTAACCTTGATCACATTCCAAGTGACATTGCTGGCAATACTGTGAGAAGAATTTACTTGTGCAACGGAAAATCTGTAAACATGCCCCTGGGATTCTTCTTCTGCCAATTAGACCACAATATACAATAAAAAAATCACACATCACAACTAAAAGGGGTCATATCTAACTACATGTAATGTTTTTAAGATCGAAGACAATCTGCCATAAAATTATTACAGAGACAGAAGAAAACTTCCTGAATAATAAGACAAAAGCTCTTGTGCATTGAGATTGTTCTTTGAACCTTTACGACTTTACCCCCATTATCCTGGCCCTGCGTTCGATGGGCTGCTCCAGGTCAGTGGCGTCAGCCACATTTTCTGTTAAAGGACATTTGAAACCTGGTAACATCAAGAGATGACCACACTTGCCATTGGTGACGTCCATATCACCATTTCACCGACAATCTGAATCCCACCACTTTCCCCATTTCCTCCAAGTTCCAGTGCTCCCCATCTTAGAGAACAAAATTTTAACTGCAAATGTCTTTCATTGATAATTTCCACCATCATGCTTCAAGAGCTAGGGTGTGTGTCCCTGTGTGTGTGTGTGTGTGTGCGTGTGTGCGCTTGCGTGTGCGTACACGTGTGCACGTGTGTGGCGTATCGTGTGTGTGTGTGTACTTAGTGTGAATGAGGCGACCATTACTTGCAAGAGTTTGATTTGGCTCTTGGACTGTCAGTGACCCTTCCCCTGTGGACAAGGTGTTTCACTAGATCAGGAAAGAAGTGGCTGAAAGGAAGCTTGGTGCAGTGAAGAAACGAAGGAAGGACAGATCTGGAGGCCACGTGGACAGGGGACCCTCACTGTCCCGCAGCTTCCGAGGTTACTCTGAATGCACTGCCCAGAGAGGAGCTTTTCAAACTCAAGTGTGCGTGAGTCCCATGGGGGTGCGGAGACATACAGACTCTGGTTCTCTAAGTGGGGCAGGGCCTGGGCCTCTATGTGGCTAATAAGTTCTCAAGGGGCTGATGCTGCTGGCCAGGGAGCCACATGTTGAATAGGAAGGGGCTAGTACATTCCAGCAAAAACTAGTGTTGACAACAGCCTCAGTTCCATCTGTACATGTTTTCACAACTGTTAATTCCTGATGGACCAATTTCACACTGCACAATTAAATCCACTGGGAAAAGGCAGAAATGGAATTATTATATTTTGTGAGTACAGACTCCCCCTGCTCCATTTGTTGTATTAACAGATAGCCTCCAGAACATATACCATTTTCTCTGCTCGAAAAGAGTTTAAACCATGGTGCGAGTGAACACTGAACCACATTTCAAGGCCACAATGCCTTTGATATTGGATTGCATAAATACCTTATATTACAGCTGATAGCCTTATAGAGAAATGCCTTCCCTTCACTCTCAGCATGCTGACTGTCTGTCCATCCTGCAGGACATGTTTGCAATCGCCCTACCAAGTCCCGCCAAATGTAGCCCCATCTTAGAAAATCTGAACTTTGGGAGTTTGCTTCAGACAAAGCATTTAAACAAGGAACCCTCTCGAAGGTGGAGATTCTTGTTGAGCCACCAGATCAAAGGAGAAGATGGATTTCTCACATCTCTGAAGTGTTTTTAGAAATGCATCCACACGTTTTTGTTCGAAGGAACTCAGATGTGGAAATGGCCGCAGAGTCGACTGAGGCCAGGGCACCACCATCAGACATTGCTCTGTTGTAACAGGAGAGTCCGCAGTTCTCTCTCCCGCTGGTCCTCCTGCCTGTACTTCTCCTCCAGTTTCTGCTTCTCGGAATCCGCGCAGTAAAACGTGCAATCGGAGCTCTTCCGGATCTGTTCGAACTGACTGAAGTCAGCCACGTACTTGCCGTTCTTGGAGAGAGAAACCACGGGCACGAACTCAAAGCCCCAGTAGATCTCCTCTGGGATGTAAGACGTGCGGCTCTGGCAGACGGCGCTGGTGGACTCCACGGTGGCATTGAGGAGCACCACGAGCTCAAAGTCCTTCTCCTTCAGGTTCTGGGGGGTGAGATCTCTCAGGGGGCTGGTCTCATCCAGCACGTGGTAGAAGGTCAAGGGCAAAATGAGGAAGGGGCTCTCGGAAGAGGAGTCCACGTGGAATTTGACGGAGGCCTGGTTGAGGAGGATCCGCTCGCCCTCCTTGGTGACATGGGTCTGCAGGAGCTTGCCGGAGAGCTGGCACTGGATCAGGAGGCTCTTGCGCATGTTGGCCACCTGGATCACCAGGCACAGCTTCCCGTTCTGCTTGGTGATGACCGCGCAGTGGCTGAACTTGATGGTCTCCGCCCGCTTCTTGGGTCTGGCGATTTTGGCCAGGAAGGTGCCCGTGATGAAGATCTCAATCAAGGTGGTGATGACCAGCTGAGCGACCAGCAGGAAGATGGCGTGAGGGCACTCCTCCGTGATGGAGCGGACGCCGTAGCCGATGGTGGTCTGGGACTCCAGGGAGAAGAGAAACGCCCCCGTGAGGGAGTCCACCTTCATGATGCAGGGGGTGTGGTTAGAAATGGGCTCGCCGGGTTCTAGGTCCCCGTGAATGAACGCGATGGCGTAGTAGATCACCCCGAAAAGGAACCAGGTCATGACGAACGTGGCCGCGAACAGTGTGAGTTTGTATCTCCACTTCATGTCGATCACGGTCGTCCACAGGTCTTGAAGGTAGAGTAAGTATATGCCATCCACCTTGTCGATTCTCACGTTGCTGTGCCCGCTCTTGGACATGACGCGGGGCCTGTCCGAGTGCCTCACCAGGGGCGCACTGGACATGCTGAGGTGCACGGGGTCCATGCTCAGCCTCTTGGGACCACCTGAGGAAGGGACAAAGAGACACCTTATCACTGTCACAGTGGCAGACTGCCCAGAAGATGGAACCAGGGTAAACCTGTGACATGAGTATGAAAGCATGTGGATGGGCAGAAGGAAGGAGACTTCTGCAGGCAAGACTAACCCACTTGGACTTGAGGAAGGCAGTGGGGTGAGGTGAGGAGCCCTGGAGACAAGCAAACCCGGGTTAAATGCGGACTCTCCCAGTTATCTGCTGTGTGAGCCGGGATAAGTTACTAACCTCTCTGGACCTCAGCTCTCTGATCTGTAAAATGAGAATAAAGCCTAGTCTTTAGGGTTTTGTGATGGTTAAATGAGATAGTGCTATAAAGAACCAAAACCGAGCCCCTCTCCAAGCCCCCCCCCCCCGCCCCGCCGTTTAAAATACGATGCTAATCGTCCCTGTGCAATACCATAGGCGCATGCATCTACCCCACAGAGTGTTAGGAATGCTTATGTATATCCAGCTACCATAATATCCAATTGTAGAGAATTTAAAAATAAGTTGACTAAGCATAGGGTCAGTATAGATATAACTAAAATCTACCATCCACAGCTAGTTCTTGATAAGCGATGGAGAATACGAATACACATTTTTAAAACTTGTAATAAATATATTTAAAACTTACCCCTTTGCATGATATTCCCTATAATAGCCATTTATTCCCCCCGCTGCAATCTAATGAATACTTTAGAATCCATGACCTCCCCTAGTCTTGATTACATGAGAAAAGACTAAGTTATCACCAACCCCAAACAAACACATAGTGAATAATTAAGCTTGATGAATAGCTTAATTGATATGCTGGTTAATCTTAGCAGTGCTATCAATATCCCATATCAGGTATGGCATTCCGGGGTGGCACGCACATTCTGCCTTACTTCTTTAGAACTAAGCGGAACCAGCGCAGGCATGCACTTTAAAGAGTTAAAGAACAAGTAAACACGCGCAGGATGGAACAGTGGGGCCAGCAGACCTACCAGGAAGAAAGCTGGGCTCCCACGCTGCTTGCTGGTTCACAGACAGGGACACGCTGGGTGTGAGGCCACCCAGCATCTTATAGTACCTGCCTGGTGACTGAGATGAGTCACCCCTACATTCCTTGAAAAGATAATGGGAGTGATTAGGGGGAACTCTACCTGGTCGGCATGTTTATTTTTCCCACCCCAAATGGCATTTTTTAAAAAATTCTAAAAATCCCCGTGATAAAAAGGAACTGGTATGCAGCGGTCTGTGATTCATGCAATAATCTTGCTTTAGAGCAGCAGGACCTCAATAGGGGGTTTGAAAATAATCCTCCGTAAATCCCTCCAAGGAAAGTGAAACTGTACCCATCCCAGGCGGACACGTGGGGATGCAGGGGACTGTGGGCTCTTAATGTTCCTGTTCCTTTAGCAAGAGGGTGTCATTTACTGAATGTCCCCTGGAATGATCTTTCTTTTTTCTTGGAAAGGAAAGTCATTTTCTCTTTTTTCCATTGCAAAGAAGGGCCATGAGCTACTCAGAAGTTATTTTACCCACCGAAGCCTATTCCACTTATTGGGGATCCATTTAAAAGAAACGCACAAGGTCTAATGGATGAGCCTGGGTCTAGGGGGCCCGCCAGCCACACGTCTCCGTGGCCACCGGGAACGGGATCAGGGGCAACGTTTGGAAGTGAGGCCGTGCTGGGTGCCCAAGTGCACAGTCAAGCTCAGAACTCCCGCTTCGCAGAGACAAGTAACTGCATGCACTTAAAAAAAACAAAAAACAAACAAAAAAAAACCTGCCCGGGAAAGTGCATGCCATCCCAGCACTGCAATCAAAACGGAGGCTGCAGTTTTGGAGCGTGAGTGATACACAGGGTCCTGCGGGCACAAGCAGCTACTGGAAAAGTTGGCTGGGTGTGTGAAGACTGTGCCACGAAACTCCTGCCTTAACCTCTCCCACAGGGGCAGCAGGCCAGCCTGGGAAGAGCTGCATCCGCTTCCTCTGCCCTGTTCCTGCAGGCCTGGGTCAGCGCTCATGACCCCAGCAGCGCCTCCTAGCAGAGCCGGGGAGCATGGCCTGGGGAGGAGGACCCGGAGCCTCTGGGTCTTGGCTTTAGCATCTCTCCGTGGAAAAGAGCAGCTGGTGGACAGCACTCAAAGGGAGGCGCCTTCTGCCTCCCTCGCTGCACCCCGTGCCCCCAGAGCTGCTTGCTGCCTGGTCACTTACTCAGCAGGTCAGAAGCCGTCTTCTTCAAGGCGGGTGCACCGTCCTGGCTCCCCTTCGCCCACCTGGCTACCATGGGGTGCTGCTCCTGCCTGGAAGAGAGAGGGACACGTGGGGTTCACAGGTGTTTACAAAGAAACTGACCCTTAACAACCCCCCTCCCCCCTCCTCCCTCCCCAGGGGCTGGGGCCTAGGATTCATCTCCAACCCCTGGCCGTCTGGCATGGTGCCAGGGCACAGGCTCAGGAGTGTTTAAGGATTAAAGTGCAGCCCCAAGCCCAGCCCTCAGGAGGGAATTCTCACCCTCCGGAGGGAGTTCCACCGTAAAGCCCCCTGGAAAGAGGGTGAACTGGCCCCCATTGAGGCCCACTGTCCACTGGCCCGCGGGCAGGAGGCAGGAAGGGGAAGTGCGGAGGAAGTAAACACTGCGGACTGAAGGGAAGAGTCTAGAATATTTTTACCGCCTGTGGAAACGCATTCTTATTGTTGAGTCACAGGCCATCAGAGTTGAAAGGACTGTCAAAACCTAGGCATCTGACACCCATTTTGCAAGTGAGGCGGCTGAGACCTGGGAGGTGGGACACACCCGCCTTCCTCACACAGACGGTTCACGGCAGGAAGAATGAGGCCAGAGTTCTTAAGCCTCAGCTGCCAGCGTTGAATGTGATCAGTTTCAATTCAACAGGTTCTGTTACCTCCTGCTTTTCTGAAATGCCTCTTCCTGAGCCACGCACACACACACACACACACACACACACACACACACACACACACTCGCACACACTTCTTATCCGTCTTACACAAAGAAATGTACATACACTTCATGCTTCCTTTCTAATCCACCCATGATTGTAAATAATTGCAATAGTTGCTCTTTTATCATTAAGAGGTCCCAGCTACCAACCTGTGTAGCCTCTTCTACCCGCAGCTCTCCCGGGTGTTCGTGAGTTTGGCAAATGACCTCTTTCTCCGTCATCCCTCTGTGGGGATCCAGCAGCAGCCTCACTCACATGCCTGCTTTATCACTTACACTTTATCAGATGCGTTTTTAAAAAGAAAAATAGATTTTCATTGATTTCAGAGAGGAAGGAAGAGGGAGAGATAGAAACGGCTGCCTCCTGCACGCCCCCTGCTGGGAATCGAGCCTGCAACCCAGGCATGTGTCCTGACGACTGGGAATCAAGCCTTGACCTCCTGGTTCAAAGGTCAACGCTCAACCACTGAGCCATGCCAGCGGGCATCATATGCTCTTAATTTACAGTATTTTATTCCTTCTCCGGGGGAGGGAACTGAGGCACAAGCAGGCTAAGTGAATCACCCACATTCTCCGCAGCTGTCAGGCGACAGCCCATGCTGGCCACTACCTGACACAGGTGCTCAAGCTTAGCGGCCTCAGAACCGCCTGCAAGGCTTGGAGTTTCTGATTCAGTAAGTCTGGGTGGAGCCCAAGAATTTGCATGTCTGACACATGGCTCCGGGAACACAGGTGGAGAACCTCCAGGCCGTGACATACAGGTTAAGTGCTACCCTCCGCTCCCCCCACCCCCACCGCCTCTTGGCATTCTCAGGTAAGACTATCGCACACAGGCAAGGCACGCACCTGTTGATTAGTTTCCAGAATGTCCAATCTATACCATCTTTCTAGGTGAATGCCAGCTACTCAGTGGACCAGTGCTAGGTATTAACTTTTTAGAGGATTAATGTGTTTTTTTGTCCTAGTTAGTGCAACACTGAGACCTTCTAAAAACCTAGAGCCCTGTTGAGTCCAAGTTTGGAAGTTTTCCACTTGCCCGTGCTGGGAAAACTTCTGTGTTCTGGTGGGGGGCCAACTAGGCCTTTGATCCTGCAGAAACATGACCAAATGAAAGTTGGGGAGGCAGCAGGTTCCCAAATCTGGACTTTCTCCCGCCTCAGGGAGTCCTTCTCTGTCCCTTCAGTGAGGTGGTGGGTACAGCTCGAACTGTAACTTTGGCTTAAAGCAAAATTTGATGGGAATTTGACTTTAAAGCTTTAGCAAAACAGCTTCCTGTTTGTAAGAAAAGTTGCGCAAAAACTAAAAAAACTTTCTTGGATGTTAAATATTATTGACAAAACAATTTTTTGGTGATATCTTTCTTTTTCTTTTCTTTTTTTTCTTTTTTTTTTTTTTTGCTATGAATCCAAAATACCTGGATTAAATTTCGCTTTAAAGGCACACAGGTTTAAATATTAAGTAGGCAAAGAAATGCTTGACAGGGGGCTCACTGGGCTCAGAAGGTTTAAAAGTAATTGACAATAAAATCAGTGAGGCTTAGCTATCCTCCCTTTGGATCCTGGGACTGTGGCCGCACGGCACACGGGACCTCTGGCACTGGCCTCCTGCCATGGTCCCCTGCTCCTCCCCGCCGTCCAGGACACGCTTCAGTGGCTGGTCTGACTGTTCTGAGTCCACTTCTTGATTCCGCCCATCTCCGCTGAGGACACGGATGGCTGTGCCCAGGTGGCCTTGGAAATGAACATACTCAGTAAGAAAGGATGAGGTGGCCCCAAGTTGACTCTCAGCGGATTCCCAAGGGCGGCCTCTGGTCCTTGTCTGCAGGGAAATGACTCTCTCCTCCTGGAGCCCCATTCCCTCCCTCGGGGCCCGGAGGACTGAGGGTGGCCGGCCGGAAGGGTGGCAGCTCCTGGGCGGCTGGGGAATCGGCCATGGTTCCTCAGAGAATCACACTGCCACTGGGGGAAGAACTAGCTGAGGTTGTGGCACATTCACGACCCATTTCCTCTGTCCTAATGACCTTGGTCTTGAAGATATGAACTGGGATCTAACCCGCAGAGCTGCGGTCATTGCTGTCATTGCTCTTTGTTTGTTGCTGCCAGTTATTGGCCACCAGCATTTGTCCATAGAATCCCTCCCTGGGCTTGTCCCTGTAGGGGAGTGTGTTTTTACCCATGTGTCCCATGTGGGAATGTGACCACTTTGGTCAATGGAGTGTGAGGCGGGGTGACTGGGGCCACACCTGGACAGAGGGATGTAGCACGGTCTTGGATGAGGCTCGGGTTGGGCTGTACCTTCTATGGGGACCAGGAGGAGGGGACACTTGGAGCCAAGCTATAGCTGAACCAAAGCTGACTCATAAGATGGTGAGAAAAACTTCTATTGCCACGAGCCATTGAATTCTTGGAATTGTCACCGAGACAAAACCCAGTGCATGCCTGACCACAGACACCCTTTCTACAGATTTTGTGCTGTAGGGTGATGGGCTTGACCTACAAGGTGCTGTGCTTAAAGAAACATGTAAAGCCTTCGGCTATCCTTAATGTAAACTCTAAATCTCGGTCTGTGACAAAACATGAAATAGAAAAAATCCAAATGAACAAGATTCCAACTGGAAGAAGGAGAACAGAGGAAAGGAATGAAAAGTTGAATACCTTTTCTCATTAAATACTTCTCAATCAATATTTAAATGTATCTGTATCTTGACCAGACAACTTTTCAGGGCAAGGAATAGGGCCTTAGATACCATGACTCGAATGTTCTGTGGAGCAGGAAGCCCTTGGTTGGGGACGTGGTGGCCTGGCGGTCTGTGAGGACAGACACACTGGGCGGTGAGGGGACCATCATCATTAGGTCGCTGCTGGCTTTTGCTGAGAAGGGGGCAACAGAGACTTCTCAAAGCAGCTTCAGGCAGTGTTCTAGCTAACCCTCCTCTCTACCTGGAAACAGTATTTTCTCAGTGTTCTAAATGAGGACACTAAGCTTAGATTAAATAATTCGAACTCGTTCATAAACTTAATCCATGGAGGGCCATGTTGGCCAACCAGATCTGTCTGTCTCTGCAGCTGTGCTCCCATCTACCCACTGTCCTCAGATTCACTCACAGAGGGCACCTCTTCCCACATGCACTGCAACACAGTGTACCTTCGTTCCTGCTCATTCTGAGTTAGTATCTGTTCTAGATAAAGAGCTGTGATTGATTGGTTGCTCATCCTGTGCCCGTTCTTACAGAGGCTCCATGTAGTAATTGAGTTCTCATGTCACTTCTGAAAGACAGACTGCGATCATTCCTGTATTCCAGGTGAGGCAACTGGTGTAGAGCACAGAGTCTGGGCCTGAGTCCATGCTCCTCACCTATGCACCCCTGGTTCTCCAAGTTCAGAAGCATTCGGATGACCTGGAGGTCTTGACCCACACTTGGCTGGGCACCACCATGAGTTTGTGACCCAGCAGGTCTAGAGAGGGGCCTGGGATCTGCATTCCTAATAAGTCCCTGGAGCTCCCCAGTTCTGAGACTGCACTGTGAGAGTAGGCGCTACACTTTTCGCCGCTCGATGAATTATGTAGACGGCATGGGAAAGTCACAAGCACATACACTGGGTTGTCTGCAAGTTCAGACTCACTATCTTGAAACAAAGGAGTAGAAACAGAAAGTCCATGGGATAAAATAAACAAATATGGTAGCTGCTGGGCGAAGTCTCGGGGGAGCCAGGAGAAATGCCCCAGGGGACAGAAGTTCAGGCACACTGGCTTATTCTAGGATGGTGGGTACCATTCCAGAGAACATGGGAGGCCTGAGGAGGGAACCTGGATTCTGGGGCCATGAGAGCTGTAGCCAGAAGGACCTTAGCCGGCCTCCTGCTCAGCCTCCTCCTGTGCGTGGTGATTACAGGTGTTCCCAAAGAAAGTGAGGTGGTCAGATGACCGGGACGCTTTACCTACCAAACCTCTAAACACCCCACTATCTGCACCCATTGGAGAATCATACCACGTGTTTGTACAGTAGAGGCTCTGAGAAGTCCTGCAACAAAGACACCTGCCTAACTGGCGTTTATCTGACATTTCCAGGACTTTGAAGAGTTCCAATCTGGTCTAAACTGTACTTTATGTCTGGGGGGGGGGGGGGGAGAGAATAAAAAAGAGAGTGATTTGTTCCAGGCCACTGAGCCAATGGCAAGGCTAATCCATTCTATAGGCAGACACCTCTCTTGGTTGCCATGAAATATCCTAAGATCCGTGGTCAGCAAACTGCCGCTCGCGAGCCACATCCGGCTTTTTGGCCCCTTGAGTGTGGCTCTTCCTAAGCCTTAGGAGTACCCTAATTAAGTTAATAACAATGTACCTACCTATATAGTTTAAGTTTAAAAAATTTGGCTCTCAAAAGAACTTTCAATCGTTGTACTGTTGATATTTGGCTCTGTTGACTAATGAGTTTGCTGACCACTGCCTAAGATGAGTGGTCCATCTCACTGGACACTGAAGGTAGGTCAGCATAGAGTAGGGGGACTCCCAAGGGCAGCATGGCATCACTTGGGGTTCATTAGAAATGCCAGTTCTCAGCCCATACTTGACCTTCTGAATCACAATCTCTCAGTGCTGCCCAGGAACATGTCTTACAAGGAACACAGCCCCCCAGAGGCTCCCGTGGCTGGTTTGCCTGTGATGATGGCCTGTGACTTGGCCAGCTCTTTCTTTTGTCTTATTATCCACTGGAAAATCAACAAGTGCGCCTTTCAAAACAAACCCCACATTTTGCATTGCATGGGAGCGTCTAATGATCCAATTTGCCTCTGTGGTCAAATATTTAGCCTTTTCCCTGTGTTTCCATTCCATTATTATTGTTTTGAATTCCATAAGTCCTAAAAAGTCCCTTTCCATCTCTAAATGCGGTTTGCATAGTTATACCCTTTCCTCCTCAACGCAGAGTCTTTTTTAGTTGTGTCTTTTTTTTTTTTTTTCATTCCATAGAACATCAACCTTTCTCCACTCGGCAAAGACAAGTTTCAACAGATACTGGGTTCAACGGGAGACGCATTTTCCATTTTCCATAATCCGAGCACCGGAATCAGTCAGAGGTATCGTTTGCCGAAAGTGTTTGTAAAGACAGTTTAATTTCAGGCCCTTTATTTGCGAGAGAGCTGGCTAACCCAAATAAAACATTATCCATCTGTCTGCTGTTACGAGTGACCAACTTCAGCTGCACGTTATTACTTAATAGCAGCTAACTTTCCTATATAGAGCAAGCCTGCGCAGCAGCCGAAGGGAGAATGGAAATTTCCTTTGGTCTACCACCCTGGCCTCGCCATGCTCTGACATGTGAAGAGCTTGGTAATCAGCAGTCTCCCTGTAATCACAGCAGGGCTCGGATGTGCATTGT